TTTGATCTCTAGTTCCTCTGCCTCTTCAAAACCCAGCTTGTACATCCGGTAGTTCTCGGTTAATATAGTGTTGAAGCCTAGCTTGTAGGATTTTGAGCATAACCTTGCTAGCATGTGAAATGAGCACAATTGTGTGGTAGTTTGAGCATTCTTTGGCATTGCCCTTCTTTGGAATTGGAATGTAAACTGATCTTATATATGACCATATACTTGATCAGAATAACAGTGCTTTTTAAAAAAAAATTGTTAGATTTATATCTCACCTTTGGCTCAGGCAATCACTTTTAGCAGTACTGTACCTACAATTAAAAAATTAAAAAATTAAAAATGGAATCTCTTTGAGATGAAATGTAACTCTTTTACTGGAATACTGTAAGTTTTAACTGGGGCATGATTGAAGAAAATGTATATTTGATATCTGCAGTAACTGAAGTGTTCTGTGGAGACACTGCACTAAACATTTTACATGGTGTTTGAATATATGTTTTTTGTGGTGATATATATGGACGTAAATGACAAATAGGGCTTTTGAAATGCAGTTTGGATGAATGAGCTTTAGCAACTCTATACTGATGATACAGTAATTATGAAGTAGGCACCCAGTGTATCATTTGAAATAATGTTTTAATTTCGTTTTCTTTCATTCTTTCATTAATGCTAACTGTGGTTCTGATTTTGTTCTTTAGTTTGGAAGTGAACACTGAATCATAAGTAGTTCCAGCCAGAGAAAGGAAAAGGAAGGTCCTCTCAGTCCAAGGAGTTGCTCTGATTGACAATGATTTGATAATTAGGTGGTATGATGCTTGAATTTGTTTTATTTTGATGATAATGATACATTTTAACAAATAGGGTACTATTGTTTTGCTGCGTTTACATCTTAGAGTCACTTGTTGAATATGAACAGGTAGCAGGTATATCTGTTTGCTTTTCAGTGTGCAAAGACATACTTTAGTTCAGATATTTGTTTACCTGTTCCCCTTATGCAGGAAAAATCAGATTTGAACTATCTAAAAGAAAATACTTTCATTTTTTTTCACTGATACTGCAAAGGAGACCAGTTGTTATACATATTTAAAGGCTGATTCTATCCTGTTTTGTAAGAGAAATAACTGTGCAGGCCTTGATAGCCTTAAAATGAAAAGAGAATTTGCTCATACCTTTGCCTTGTCTTATTAACCTTTTGCTGAACTATTATTATTGCAAAACATTAATAGGAACCTGTCTACCATTTCCTAATATTGTCTTTGTCCCTTATATGGTGTGAATAGTTTCTCTTGAAAAAGAGAATTCTGGCATATATTCACCTTTGTAAAGGAATGGTGTGTGTATATGTACATCTGTATGCATCAAATATCCAGAACAAAAGTACTTCTGAGTAATGTTATACAAATACACAAAGTTCTCTGGTCATATAATGCAGTTCTGCTCAGAGTGTGGCAGCCCTTAATACATTATGGATCAACAGACAATGTTTTATTTATGAATGTAACTGTCATAAACTTTCTACTTCAGGGCTTACTATTATATGTGTTACTCTTGCCTTCAAACACAATTTCATAGTAATTATTGCAGGCAATTAGATGCGTATGATGAGAATAAGTTTTAAGAAAGGAGCTGTGATTCACCTAAACACAATAATAGTAGTATTGAAATAATATCTAACGTATTATCAGCATTGCATATGTTAGGGAAGCAGTAATATAATCAAGATAAAATTGTATTCATGAATTTTTGCCTTTGTTGTTGGAATTGTTGCTTCAAATGTAGGGTTTATGAACATCTTTAGGGATTGCTTTTGGATCTTTTATTCCAGTGTGGAATGTGTCTTAAGATGTTGGGAATTATGTGCTAATTCTTTTTCCTCCCAACATTCTACTGTAATATGTTTTTGGCTGTGTGTACACATACACACATATACATGTGTGTGTGTGTCTGTCCAGAGATAAAGTCTTAGGATTATTTGCATATTTATTCAGAATGTAGTCTTTCTGGGTTCATTAAGGTGTGTGTTCATAAGTAGATTTGCAATCTTTATTAATAGAGGAATAGAGGGAGATGAGGGGAAGAGCTTGAACATGGTTGTTTCTAATTTGAGAGTACTAAGAGATCATTCAAGTGAGTTTGTATTTCTAGGACTTAAGACTCATGTCTGCTTAACATCTAGATTTTAGGACATGTTATTTCTTTTTTAATGTTACCAATTTGTTTTTCTGTAAAATGATGTCCTTATAACTGGCTTAGCCCATCATGATGTCTTTTATGTTTATGTGGGCACCGGGTGAGGTAGGGGAGAGGATAAATCTGGACTGCTGGTTGTCTGTAACCTTGTGTTAAGAAAATAGCAGGAAAATTGGGGTGGGGGAGTATGAAATAGAAATGTCCTGAGAGCAAACACTAGAGTAGCAACTGTCAA